AAACCTTTCAGTTATTTGCACAGTTAAACAGAAATGTTTTGAGCCTGGATTTAAACAGCGTCACAGAAGAGTCTGTCTCACATGTTCAGACTGTTCCAGGTTTTAGCTGCATGAACCTGAAACTCTGACTCCCCTTGTTTAGTCGTGACTCTGGGCACCAGCAGGAGGCCGGTCCCTGAGCTCCTCAGAGTGTGAGATGTTCATATGACACTAACATGTCACAGATGGACTTTGGTGCTCGGCCATGGAGAGACTTGTACAAGCAGAGCTGCTTTAAAGTCTCTGAGGCACAGGAGCCAGTGCAGAGACCTGAGTACAGGACTTATGTGCTCGTACTTCCTAGTTCGAGTCAGGACCCGAGCTGCGATCAAGCAGCAAGTGAAGAAGAAGAACTACAATGTAAAACTAATAATGATAAAACAATAAATTACTTTTACTTATGTCTCCAACTTCTCCGTTCCTTTACTTTTCACATTGTAGTTCTTTTTCTTCACTTGCCGCTTGATCGGTCCGTCGGAAAATAGAGTCCCGCGGTCACTTCCGTTGTTGCTTTTTGATGTGCTGTGGCTTTTTAATGTGTTGCGGCATTTGTGTTTTTGTTGTGGCGTTTGTATTTGTTGCGGCATCTGCGTTAAAATAGAGTCCCGCTGTCACTTCCGTTGTGGCTTTTTTTGGTTTGTTGTGGCTTTTTGTTGTGTTGTCGCATTTGTATTTGTTGCAGCGTTTGCGTTTGTTGTGACCCCTCTCGGCTTCCGTACATATCTGATCTTTTAATGACAGTCTGAACGACACAGATCCGATTTTTCCCATGCAACCCAGGACGCTCGGATATGTGCTCCTAAAACTGATACATGTCCGATCTTTTGACACGCGATTTCAGTCTGAACGTCAGGCTCAGAGTCTCAGAAAGCGAGGGTGATGAGGTAATTAATATTTGGGGGGATCGCTGTATTCAGGACAGATTGGTTGGCTGTATTCGGAACCGGGCAGTTTTTGAAATGATTGCCAAAGAAATGTCCGAGAGAAGCTACAGGCGGACCTGGCTACAATGTCAACGAAAAATAAACATCCTGCGAGTCAAATACAAGGAGGATAAAGACTCAAACAAATGATGTGGCCATGGATGTGTAACCTGTCCATTTTACGAAGAACTGGACCGTATTTTGGGAAACAAGTCCAGCGTTTAGGCGACTTCCGTAAACACTGAGCACGCTCGCTGTTCTCCAATGCTCATGCGGAACACTTTTGGGGCGTTTAAAGTTCACACAGGAGATCACATACAAGTCGCTTTTAATTGGAAATGTGAACGACCTCGCAAAAAAAAAAAAAAAATCTGATTTCACAAAAAAATTTGAAATTGAACATTAATCCCTGCAGTCTGAACTCAGCCTTAGTCTCTCAGGTCCTCAGATCTCATCTTTAAACTGTCCCAAGAGTCCAAACTAAAACTTACGGTGAGGCGACATTCAGTTTTTGCAGCCCCCGTTTGTTGAACGATCTACCTGAGGATCTGAGGTCCGCTGCGAGACTTCATATTTTATATTCAAGTAAAATCAAAACGTATCTTTTTAATTTAGCTTTTAATTGAAACTTATTCCAATCCAATAAAATTATTATTATTATTTATGTATTTATTTTTATTATTATTAATATTATTACATTTGTTTTGAATAAAATTATTATTATTTTACTTAGTCTCCATCTAATTTTAGCTCTCTATTTTTATCTATTTATTATACTTTAACCTTATCATACTATAACCTTTAGTGTAATAATATAACTAAAGGTTATAGTATGGAGCTTTAATGTTTTATGTTTCTGTCTAAATTGCTGTAAATATGGAAGAAACCATGAGGCGGGGGTGGGTTTGCTGTTGTTTTTAATCATTGTAATTGTTCTGTGCTATACAACTAAAGTTTAATTAATTGATTGATTGAAAAGATAAGAGTTAAGATAATGCTTTATTGCCTTGATTGGAAGAAATTATTCTTGGGACGGGGGTCACTGGCCTGTTTCATCAGCCGGTTTCACTTCGTGGAAACCGTCTGACCTCGCACCATTAGGATTCGTTCGCTCGACGGTAGGCGGGGACTTTTTTATTTAACCAATCGCTGCTATTTGGTCGTGACGTACGTAATGCGCTAAATCTCTTAGGAAGAAGGGCAATAACGTATTTCCCCTTGATAAAATTCACCAAACATTCTCTTTGTTCCGTCTTTAAATCCTCGATCTCGGGAATCGTTGCCAGCACAGAATGTCTGTCTTCGTCTACATCCATCTCGACGCTTTGTTTACTGTTGCGCTGTTCCACAAAAGGGACTCAGACAGACGCTCGAGTTTCACGTCACCGCTTCACAGCTCTTCCTGCAAACCGTCTAGTGCAGGGGTGGGCAAAGTTTTTGACCCGTGGGCCACAAAGGGTTCTAAAATGTGACGGAAGGGCCGGACCAGGAGCAAATGGATGGAGTTTTTTGGTAATCCACCTCATAAGAGAAAAAAATATCCCATGTTATTGAAATATCCCATAAATAAACATCATTACAAAGCATCACAACAAAATATCTGTCTTTGAAGTCCTGACTTTTAATCAATCAATCAATCAACAACTTTATTAATCCCGAAGGACAATTCAGTTCGCACATCTCTGGTCATGCACAATCAAAAACAGACACCATACATTCAAACCACCATGCGACACTGAAAATTATTATTATTATTATTCAAGTTCAGTGGGCCGGATTAAAAAGATTAAAGGGCCACCGGGACTTAGTTTGCTCACCCCTGGTCTAGTGTATTCCCATTCCTGACCTAGTCACTGGAGAGAAATGAAATTGAGTGGAGGCAGTAGGTGGTGCCAGACTGACTGGGGGGGGGGGGTCACAGTTTAACACAAAAACAATGCAGCAACAGAAGCACCAAACAAACCTCCACCACAGAACATAAATAAATAAGAGGCCAAGTTTGACCACAAGTGATGCACCAGCAGGAGCATTTAAATCTCTCTGTACAGACAAACCCTTCACTGTCTTGTATTCTGTTCACAATTGCACATTCCCTAAACATTTTACTTTTATTTTTTAGCTGCACTAATGGCACAAAGTAATGTTTATAATATTGTTACCTCCTCAAAAACAGACCTGGATTTGTGTTTTGATTCATTCGTGTTTGTTTGTCTGTTTGTCTGTCTACGTCTCCAAATCTCAAAATGCTCGGTTCCACCTTGTGATGTCATGAAGCTGTAGTTTTCAATTTAACAGCTCCTTTTACCTTTAGTTCAGTAGAGTTTGGCACTCCCTCAGCAGAAATCATCCAAATGAGTTTAAAAACACAGTGGAGCACATTCTGTATTATTACTACGTGACATCACAAGGTGGAACAGAGTGTTTTCTGTCTGAGTAAGCATATATTGTATCATCAGTTCTTAAAATAGATATGACACTGCTGTGTGTTGTCTAATTACAAGATTACAAAGTGTTTTATTGTCTGAGAACCAGGAAGTGTGCATTAGCATACTAGTTGTTTCTTTAAATCTTCACAGTGAATCATTAGGATGCTCAAAACACATAAGAGTGAGAAATAACTCTGGACCGCAGACTGTTTATCATGAGCTAGTTCATTTTTTTAAGACAGGAAAAAACAAGTACAGCACCTTTACCAGTAAATCAAACCACACAGAGAGAATATATTTGGAGCGTATTCATCTGGATGTGGCTTGTGGTGTATGGCGTGTAGGGGATTTTAACTTCCTTTTCTCGTGGTTTGCTGCTCTGTGGTGTTCTCTGTTGACATGCATGAAACTGTGACTATGACAATATTATAAGATAAAATATAAAGTTTATTACAAGTTAATAATATAACTTTATAATGTAATAATATATAAAAAACGTTTGTCCAGTTGACAAATTGAATTTCTCCTTTTGCCTTAGGTTCTACCTGGACGACTGAGGGAGTTTACACACATCTTGATAAACCACTGCATTTATTATTACATGTCATGTATTTAGTTTGTCCTGCACATGTTAAATATGGCTTTACAGTAAAGGTGCATTGAACAACTTTTCTGGTAGAGGGTCTGCTGTCTACTTGTCTCCATGGAGATGTTATTGCTTTCCTAGGAATGTTCCACAGTATGACATTAAACATCTGATTTAACTAATTTTATCAACATCTAACTGTGCCCACATGGGGAACCGAGGGTCCAAAGAAGGGGCCAAAAAGATCATATTTGGTCTGTGACCATATTTGAGTCTCTACACCATCCACATAAAAGCTCAGAAAAGTGTGAGATTGTTGTCAGAAATGGTAATTCTCTCAAATATTCAGGTTCAACAGTTAGTTTGTAAATATCTGCTTGGAGTAAATAGATCTTGGACCTCAAAAATTGAAAAAAAAACAAAAAAAACAAAATTGAGCGGCAACCAAATTTGAGATTTTGGGGGCCCACAGCACCCCATTTAATAAAGATACACAATATTTGACAACAGAGTTAGAATCTATGACTAAGAATCTACAGTAATAAAAATTTTCAGCTTCCTAGCTCTATTTTTTATGAAGTTATGGTCTCTCAAACATGCTTATAAATTAAGGTTTCCGAAAAAGTGAGCATGGCCCCAAAATTTCATAACTCAGAAACGACTGAAGGGACTAAGCTAAAATTTTAGATTCTTTCATTTGGTCAAATGTGAGATGGCTCATCGGGAAGATTTCTTGAAAATGGCTGATTTCATACGGACAGACCCTAATTCTAGTCTAGAGGTCGTTTATTTTAAGATAAATTATCAAGTAAAATGATCTTGCTGCATGGACAGATAATTTCTCAAGTCATTTTCTGATAGATTTAAGTGTTTATATCTTAAATGTTCAAGCTTTTTGCAGTGTTAAATAGAGATTGGCAGTTCCAGAGCTCAGATTATCCAGATGAGTCTAGTGAAGGTGAAAAAATAAAAGTCCTTTGCCGTGTCTGTGTATGGATAAAAGTAAATGATCCCTCGTGTTTCCAGGGAAGGAGTGCAGTCAGGACGAGAGCGCGGCGGCGGCGATCTTGACGGTGCAGCTGGACGATTATCTGGGAGGGAAGCCCGTGCAGTTCAGGGAGCTGCAGGGCGTCGAGTCCACAGCCTTCACCAGCTACTTCAAAGGAGGCATCACCTACAAGGTACACGCCGAGAGTACTGTCATGTGCACTACACAGGCTCACGCTGCTTTGACTATGAAATATGGAGCAGCTCAAGCCTGACTCAAGTCCAAGTGGCAATTTGCAAATCCCCTCCTCTGGATTTACAAAAGGATTAGTGTAAGTTAAAATACAGGACAGACAAGCCTTTGAGTGTTCAGGATAATAGAGAAGGTTTAGGGGCTGGGGCTCTGGTCTTTATTTCTTTATTCTTAATGTCCATAAACAGGGTCTGAATAAAACATGAATAAACTTACTAAAAGTTACTTAGAAAAGGGAAAAAATACTAGGCCAAACAGTAACTATACCGCACAGGATAAAGTGGATGTGGATGCACTTATGACCTTTTTCACAACGGCCGGAAGTGCCCCGCTACACGTTCGCGAAACTTCCGGATAATAGTTTTCTGTGGCAAAATATCTGTGTAAATGTCTGGCGTATTCTCCACCAGCTTCATAAATCTGCTCCATCACCAAATCTTCGGAATTTATCCACAACTGTCAAGGTAAGAAAGACGAAAACTTAAAGGAGAACAATGACGACGTATTAGTGAACTACTGAACAAAACAAATGTTACGGTCATGAATAAAACATAAGTAATTATTACCATAAAAAACTGATTTCATGAAGTCGATATTACCATAGATAGATGATTTGTGCAGTTCCAAAACGAGACATTTCTAAGATACCTTAATGTTAGTTTTGCTCAGTAGTTCGTTGTTCTCCTTTAAGTTTTCGTCTTTCTTCCCTTGATAGTTGTGAATAAATTCTTCATGGTAGAATGTTTATCCTTTGTGGACCTTGTTGGTTGAAGATTTGGTGATGGAGCAGATTTATGAAGCTGCTGGAGAATACACCAGACATTTCCACAGACAAAGTTAAAAAAGCTGAGACACTCAAAAGTTAAAAAAAATAACCAAAAGCCTTAATACCACATGGCAGATAAAGTTAAAATCACTCCAGTGTTTTGGCCCTTCAGCCCTCAGAGTCAACTTTGCCCTGATGAAAGCCGAAGGGAGACTGTTCCCTACACCGAAGAGCACCAAAAGGACAGTTTTGCACAATCTCTGTACATCCAAGTAGCACTCCTGCCCCTTAAGGTTTTGCACATTTCCACAGACATTTTGCCACAGAAAACCATTAACCAGAAGTTCCACAAACCTACAGCGGGGAACTTCTGGCCGTTGTGAAAAAGGTCTATTGGACTGCAGGTGAGTAGTGGGTAGGAACCATGGAGCTATTAAAATAATTGGATAGGGTGTTGCTGTTTGTAGCCTCCGGTTGACGTAGTGACACTCACTGGAACTTCAATGGAAAAATCCCATGGGCCGAGACAGGAGTGCAGTGTAGTCACAAACTGCTCGTGTTCAGCTGACAGGGCACCTACAACTTTCAGAAATGTCGGATGTTGTGGTGATTTGTACCTATTTTTAGATCATAAACTTTTTCTCAGCTCCTTCGGTTGTCTTGAAAAACGCTTTATAATTGTTCGCTCTGGCTCCGCTCTGCTCCTCTCGCTCTGATTGGTCAAAGCGATCATGTGATACACGAAACCGGGAGGAGAAAACTGAAGAAAAGAGCCATCGAAAGTACCTCACCAGGCTAAAGGCGAATCTGGAGACATGCACCACTGAGCTCAACCTGTTGATTTGAATGTGCGGCTGTTTTGAAACCCCGAGGAAACAGCTCAGAGAAACAGAAAAATCATGAATCTGACACTCTCTAGTTTTTCACTGTATACATGTTGTTTTTGCGCGAGATCCTACTAACATTTTGGGCCTTTTCCAGTGTCATGTCAGTGCCCCTTTCAGCTGATGCAGATGCACAGAGCAGGTCTTGGTCTAACCCGCGCTGAGCTTTCCGTAACTCGTGCCAGTCACAACAGTGAGTCACGCTCTCTGTGAATAACACATCTGTACACACACATAAACACTCCTTTCCTTTCCTCTGCGCAGACCGGGGGAGTGGCGTCCGGGTTCCATCACGTCGTCACCAACGAGCTGAGCGCGCGCCGACTCCTGCACATCAAAGGGCGGCGCGTCGTCAGGGCAACGCAGGTGCCCCTGGGCTGGTCCAGCTTCAACAGCGGAGACTGCTTCATCCTGGACCTGGGACATGTGAGCGCAGAGAACTGAGACTCGCACACAGACACAAACACGTAGGAAAAAGCATCGTAATGGACATTTGTGCTCTGACTTTAGAACTGGTTTGGTCTTTTTAACCCCGGATAAGTTCTCTCGTTCTCATTGAAAGACGTGTACAGCCTAAAAATCCAAACTTTTAATATGCACAAAAGTAAGAGGACCTGCTACATGCAATACTGTGAATCCAATCCAAACCACTTTATTTATACAGCACATTTCACAAACACAGTTTCCAATCTTTAATAGAAATCAACAGATGCCAATACAGATTTTAAACCTCAGAGAAACTGTTGGCCGATAAGCGCTGCCAATATTTTAGATCCACTTTTAGATCCAAAACTAAACAATTTGCAATGACTACAAACTGATATGAAAGTATAAGAAAGAATAGAATCTATAGAAAGCAGTTTAGTTACATTCTGAGCATCTCTGAGTCTTATCTTCAGTCCATACAAAGTCTTTTAATTTAAATAGTTTCCTTAAAGCCCAAGGACTGCAGATAGAAAGGAGTTTGTAGTTAAATCTGGCACAGAGCATCTCCTCTCTCTGAGTTGAATGTTTTCTGTGCGCTGTCCTAGTTTTAAATAAATAAATGCATACATAAAAAATAAATCTTCTATCTCTTGTACACCGCAAAAAAGCTTCATCAAAATTTAAGATATAAACTTCAGTCTAGCAGAAAATGACTTAAAAGTAGTGAAATTATCTGTCCAAGCAGCAAGATCATTTTACTTGACAAGTTATCTTAAACGTCCTAGTGCCTAGTGCCTTCGATCAATTTCATTTCTCTCCAGCGACTAGGTCAGGAATCAGAATACACTAGACCAGGAGTCTCCAACCTGTAGCTCTACACCCCCTTCCAAGCAGCTCGCCAAGGGATTTCTGAATTACATGTATTGTGCTGAATAAGTCAAATTTGATTAATTAAATGCCTTTTACCATTGTACATGTATCATTTTGATGTCTAAGTTTATGCACAAATAAGTGGATAATGGTTTATGTTTTCTGTACTTCCTTTAAGGCTCGCCCTGGATCTTATTTATACTAAATTTCTTGTGACCGATAAAACTAGTAGCTCTCAGACATTTTGTAAAAGTAGCTCACGAAAGGAAAGGTCTTTAAGAACCCCGGAAGTTGTAGACCGCACAACAGAAGTCATGACGTCAAACTCAAGCGCCTGTCTGTGGTCCCTTTTGTGGAACAGCACAACAGTAAACAAAACGTCGAGATGGATGTAGACGAAGACAGACATTCTGTGTTGGCAACGATTCTCGAGATCGAGGATTTAAAGCCGGAACAAAGAGAATGTTTGGTGAATTTTATCAAGGGGAAAGACGTTATTGTTCTTCTTCCTACGGGATTTGGTGCATTACGTACGTCACGACCAAATAGCAGCGATTGGTTAAATAAAAAAAGTACCTGCATATCATCGAGCGAATGAATCCTAATGCTGCGTGGTCAGACGGTTTCCACAAAATGAAACAGTCTGATGAATCAGGCTAAAAATATCTGCCAGTGGATGAAAATGCATCTTGCTACACTTAAAATAAGAAAAACAATAACTTTTTGCACTAAAAATAAGGAAAAAACTCACTTATTGCATTGGTAGATCATTTTACTTTAAGTTGAATCTACTCAAATGAAATCACATCCTCTTGATTTAAGACATTTTAACTTACCTAGATATTGTTTTTTTCAGTGTAAATAAATCAATCTTCTGTGTCCTGTACATTGCAAGAAAGCTTGGTCAAAATTTAAAATATGAACACTTAAATGTATCAGAAAATGACTTAAAAGTGGTGAAATTATCTGTCCATGCAGCAAGATCATTTTGCTTGACAAGTTATCTTAAAATGAACGACCTCTAGACTAGAATGAAGCATCTCTGGTCTAGTAAGTAGATAATAAATTTGAAAGCAAGATGAATAACCTGATTTAAGTTTTAAAATCTTGGTCAGATCAGAGAAATTTGCAGTATAGCCAGGCAACGGGTCCACACATGTAAATAACCAAAATACTTCTAGTGTGTCTGTGTTCTTAAATGTATCTGTGTGTGTTTGTGTAGACGATCTATCAGTGGTGTGGGGCCAACTGCAATAAGTTCGAGCGGCTGAAGGCGACTCAGGTGGCACGAGGGATCCGAGACAACGAGAGTAACGGCCGCGCTCAGCTGATGGTGGTGGAGGAGGGCAGCGAACCCGAGGCGCTCATAGAGGTGAGGCTCCGACACACACTCGCAGATACTTTTAACATCGCTCCAACATTTAGTTTAGTGCTTCTGAAATAAAAGTCCCAGTGCAGCTTGTAGCTTTTATTATTGCCATTAACACTGTGAAAAGTTAAAAGGACAGTTTAGAATTTTGGACATAGTGCCTCATTTCCTAGTGAGCCAGAGTGTTGGAGACGTGTGGAGACACTTTTTTAAATATTCCATCCAGTCCTTGTATTTGCAGAGGTCGTTGGTGCTAGACTAGTGCATGTCAATGGTCATAGTTATCCTGCCACTAAAAACAGTCTTACCCACTCCACAAAACACCCGAAACAAATCTTTTATTACACTAGACTGTCCATGTGAATGTCTGTGTTGATAGAATAATTTTATAAGTAAATCCAACCTTGCATTTGAAGGATTTATGTCTGAGCAGCAGTGAGTTGTACTTCCTGATCGAAAGATAGGCAGCGG